AGTTCATTCAATCATAAATGTCCAATATGCATAACCGCGTAATGACTTATTATTCCCCAATTTAAACTTTTTTAAATTTAGTAATTGCCTAGTTTTGGAAGCCCACACGAACAACCTAGATAGGACTCTCGCAAACTCCACTATCCATTTAGAGGAGGCTTTATATACAGCAGTGTTTGGACTTCGACACCTGTGGACAAATACAATAATTAATATATACGAGGCCTTCTCTGATTAGTTGACTAAACTGTATATTGAGATCTTACGAACGAGATATTTGGGCGTTCGTAGATAGAACATTCACTAAGATGAAATGAAGAAAATAAATTAACACAATGAAATAAAATTAAAACAATTAAATGAATTACAAGTAAGAAAACAAACCCAATAAAATATAATAATAACAGATTGCCATTGCTCATTTATGTACATGTATGTATCTTAGTGGCTAATTGTTTTAATTCACTATTACAGCGGGCTTCAAAATAAACATTTATCCCCCTCCTAATTTCAACATTCCATGTGATATTCGGTTACTGCGTTTGTGTTTACCTTCTAAAATTTCAACTCAAAAAGCAGAAACTTTTGACAAACCCTGTTCACGACGGGCGCTGAGGGATAAATGCGACATTAAGGGTAGTGTATATAATATAAACTGTTTTTAATTTCCCCATTACTCACGTTCAACCTTTTACCCACATATGTTGAGAAAAAAATTTGCTCATGACTAATTATCCGGAGACGTTTGGAATGGTTTCGTCCATATTCAAATTGTCTGTTTATCCCTGTTCGCACGTTGCAGATTGTGATCTGTACATCTGTTACGGTTAAATGGTTAGTCACCTAACAACATAGCGGCATGATTTTTTTTAAATTGAAACAAATTGACGGCTATTTCATGTTTTTGAAAGTTTCAAAATCGATATCGCCTGCAAAAATGTCTTCTAGAATTAACCTATGACCTCTACATACTTTGAGCTACGACATTTCTCTTGGATTTACAACATTCTTTTTTGTATTATAATATTGTGATCTTTGCCACGTCAACACAAAATTACAGATGTAGACAATTTTCGCAACTAATTTGTATGTAACATATATGAAAA